ATGGATAAAGAATTTTCACAACCAAGTTACTTTACTTTTACGAAGATTATTCGAAGGATTTTCCAATTGTAATTTAGATAAATGCTGTAAATAAATTAGATATATGACTATGCCAAAATATTACAATTGCAATTCAATATCCAAACATCTAGAAAGTGATTAGTCTCCGAATCATCAAATATCAATATTATACTTTCAGTAGTATTTTTCTTAAATCTCTTACATCCAAAGTCATTGTTGCTATTTGCTAGCTATGCTTAAGAAAATAAAAATCATACTCGTAGTAAGACATAAAAATGGCTACTTGCAAAATCGCAATGACATAATAAGGATCTAACCGAAAGTGAGCACCTTTACGCGAAACGTTGGAGATTTAAGGGTTAATTTGCTTAATAACCAAATTTTTTTAATAATTAAGTAACTAACTAAAATTGGCATGTGGATAAAATCTTGACTATTAAAATTAGGGTAATTGGTTAGATATTTAGTTATTGTTTTTTTTTTTGGTTATTACACACAATTTCCTATTTAATTATAACTTGGCTTTCGACCCAAAAAAAAAAATTATAACTTGGCTTAATGGACGTCCTGAATTTTTTTCTAAAGTATTCTCCTCTCTTCTTTCCACATTTTTTTTTTTTCAAAATATTTTTTTTATGTAAATGAAAGTTGTATCATGTATGTATATGCATGTGACTAAATTCAAGACCAAAAAAATAAAGAATGGGCCTTTACAAAAAAAATGGAAGATGCATGTCGTTTTAAAATTGGTCTTAATCCGCCTTTTATTGGGCCCTTGAGTCTAACCAACTCTGTCCTAAAATGGGCCTACAATTCATCAGCACATAAAAAGCCTATTAGATCAAACGTGTAACATCCCAAGCCCATTTTGGAAGCCGAAGAAACCAGATTACCATTTACATATTGTCAAGTTTTCTAATCAACTGGTTGTCTTTCTTTAATCCTATTAAATCTTGAAATATATCTTCTTAACCTGTCACTAATAATTATTGATGAATAGTTGAGAGACTATTATATGAAGTTTGAGCTGTCGGAAACGAAAAAACTCAAAATATGAAACAGTTCGTTGCATTATTATTGTACCAAATATTCACGCTTTCCAAAAATTGATATCTTTTCCACTATTTCTCCACTTGTGATATTTAACGGAAAACTATACTTTTTGCTTTTTGTTTACCATTCTATCAAAATAAAATTAGTTTACACCAAAATTTTGAAATAGTTTGCACGCTGGTCTATAGCAGGGGAAAAAATTAAATTGCTAAACTCGTAAGTTAGCTAGTTTTAAATTCCCTAAGCAATCATTACTTGTTAAATGTTAATGTCGTTGCTGTTAATCATATACGGCTTTGGTCGGGACCGTCCCAATAAAACAACAAAACACATTTTCAACGAGTTTAGTGTATCTTATGCCACGTGTCGAAAATATATTGGCTGGACGGTATGTGACTATGCATTGTGGTTGCGTTGCAAAAATAAATACGTCACAATTCACATTAACTTTCCACAATTATGTCGTTTTCACAAATACTGTAAACTTTTTTTTTTTTTTTCCATCTGAATTTTTCATTGAACTAATATACATGACAAAATACAGAGGGGACCAAAAGATCAGATCAGCATTGCTACGACTGAG